TCCTCCTCCTCTTCCTCCTCCTCCTTCTCTTCCTTCTCCTCTTCCTCCTCCTCCTCCTCCTCCTCCTCCTCCTCCTCCTCTTCCTTCTCCTCTCTTCTCCTCTCCTCTCCTCTCCTCTTCTCATATTCTCTTTTCTTCTCTTATTCTCTTTTCTTTTTTTGTCAATCATGGAGCCTGAGCTCAGGGCCTGGGCACTGTCCCTGAGCTCTTTTGCTTAAGGCTAGTATTCTACCACTTTGAGCCACAGCTCCACTTTCAGTTTTCTGGTTGTTAATTGGAGATAAGCATCTCAAGGTCTTTCTGCCCAGGCTGGCTTTGAACCATGATCTTCAGGTCTCAGCCTCCTGAGTAGGTAGGATTACAGGCATGAGCCACCAGTGTCTGACTGATACTCTGATTTTCTAATGGGCAAACAATTTCTAAAGTGAATCAGATGAAATGATGTCTGCCTTCTCTACCTTACTTAACCACAGGTTGTGGACCTGTCACCTAACTGCATCATGTTGCCAGGATTTGTGCAATGCTTTGTATACCAATGAACACCTGACAGACCTTGACCTCAGCGACAATGCCTTAGGGGATGAGGGCATAAAGGTTCTGTGTGAAGGATTAGAACACCCGTCCTGCAAACTACAGACCTTGTGGTAAATGCATGGAAACTCTTTGTGTAGTGTCTTTTTTAATTCCAGTATGTATATAAAATTGAGGGCCGAGGGGAACTTGGAATGAAGCTGATTTCACTTTTTAATCTTTTATTCCTTCCAGGATAGCAGAATGTCATCTAACAGATGAGTGCTCTGGAGCTCTCGCCTCTGTCCTCAACAGAAACGCGACGTTGTTATTGCTAGACTTAAGTGGAAATAACTTCACAGATTTTGGAATACAAATGATGTGTGATTCATTGATTCATTCAAGATCTAATCTTAAGACATTCTAGTAAGTTACTGTGGTGGGGGAAGTAGGAAAGGAGAGGGGCTTGAATCAGGTGCATTGGAATTGGTCATAGACCATTACATTGAAAGAGAAGAAAAGCTGGGGGCCGGCAAGCCTAGCATAATAGTAAAGTAAGTGCTATTATCAGTAGACCAGTTGAACATGGGGAAACCTGTTGGGCATGGGGAAAAGCAGGAAATAGATAACCTCATTGTTGGAGAAGCAGCAAAGTAAAGGAAGAAAGAACATAAAATCTAGATATGTTTGGCCTGACTCACAGGTCTATAACATCTACTAGCTAGGTGACCATGCTTACTTCATCTCTCTGAACGCCAGTATACTTGTGTTTAAAATGGGGCTAGTGCTACAGTCAGTGCTGACACTTGACTGGTTGAGGCAAACATGGGGATTGAACTGAGACAGCAATTGTATCTAGTTAGTACAACCCTTTAGTACATCAGAAATACTCCACAAAATTAGGTCTTTCCATTTCTACTAATACCTGCCAGAGGGTTTCATGTATGCATTTTTTTTCTTTTTAAACCATAATTTTATTATCTTTTGGTGGTTTAAAAATATTTCTATTGTTACTATAAAGGTGATATACAGAGGGGTTACAGTTAGTATGTGCATTTCCTTTTTTTTTTTTTTTTTGGGTCCGGTCGTGGGGCCTGAACTCTGGGCCTGGGCGCTGTCCCTCAGCTCTTCAGCTCAAGGCTAGCACTCTACCACTTGAGCCAC